TATCAGACATATTTTTGTAGTTTTCAGTATGTAGATCTTTCATTTCTTTTGTATATGAAATCCTTAAATACTTCATATTTTTGAATGCTATTATAAATTGAATTTTAAAAATTTCCATTTAATTGTTCATTCTTAGTATAGAGTAATGGAGTTAATTTTTAAATATTGGTCTTAAGTCATTTAGTGTTGCCAAACTTACTGATTCGAGTCACTGTGTAGATTCCTTGTTAGTGTGGATCTAAAGTAGACCTTTTTTTAGGTCCCGACTAGCTCTGCTCCTCCAATATGGCTTCTCTGGGATCTCTGTCACATACCCTGGGTGTTCAGCCAAGTTTCTTCCCCTGGATGGTTGGAATTCATCCTTCTTTTCACCTTGTAAGAGCTTTGGTAGCAGCTCTTTGGTTAATTTTGTGGCGACTCGCTGTCTTATGGGCAGCTTGGAATTGAGACGGTCTCAAGTGGACCCCCATAGACATCTCTTTCTCTGTTTGGTTCTCCCAAATTCCAGCTGCTGCTGTTTCTCCAAGTTCTGATTTTTATTCAGTGAGATTGTTACTGGTTGGTGGACTGTAAAATTCCTTGGTTCTTGTCTTCTTGAAGGAAATAATTCAATTGAGAGACTCTGTAGAGAATTAAATAAAGGTTTTATTTAGCAAAGAAGAAAGACACTCTAGAAAGGTAGCCAAAGAGCTTGGTCTCCAGCAGACGAGGCCATCTCTGGGCGGAGACTGGGTGGTCCCAGGCAGTTTCCTGTCTGCCATCCTCCTTTCTCCCCTTCTGCTCAGGTCGGCCTAGCTGCCTACTGTAACAAGGTCACAGTGCTCTTTGGGGATTTCCTTCCTCACACCACAGTTCAGAAAGTACCTCCAAGCAAAAGCAAGTGATCCTCAGAAAGGCCCTGCTTGTTTCTTTCACTTCTCTCAGGGATTATAGTCCTTGCTGTCTGTTGTCCAGTGTTTGAAAACAATTGTATATTACGTATTTTCCAATTAAACAGCTGCTTATAGTAACAGTTATTCAGTAACAGTTACTCTGTCATGGTTGAATATTGCTTTTATTAAATCCATAGTTAAGTACAACTATTATGTTGTAAGTTCACTGGTAGAGTCAACAAATTTTAAGCAAATCATACTATGTGACATGATCTTATATGTATTAATTTTATGAGAATGACTTTTTAAATTAATCAGGGGCACCTCAGTGGCTTGGTCGGTTAAGTATCTGAGTCGTGATATCGGCTCACAATCATGATCTCACAGTGGTGGGATCAAGTCCCACATCGGGCTTCATGCTGAGCATGGAGCCTGCTTGGGATTCTCTCTCTGCCCCTTCCCCACTTGCGTGTGCTCTCTCTCTCTCAAAAATAAATAAATAAATAAATAAATAAATAAATAAATAAATAAATAAATAAAACATTAAAAATATTAATTTCAGGGGCACCTAAGTGGGTCGGTCGGTTAAGTATTGGACCTTGGCTCAGGTTCCTGAGTTTGAGCCCTGCTTCAGGCTCTGTGCTGACAACTCTAGTCTGGCACCTACTTTAGATTCAGTATCTCCTTTTCTCTCTGCTCCTCCCCTGCTCATACTCTGTGTGTCTCTCTCTCTCAAAAAAAAAAAAACCATGAAAAAAATATACATATTAATTTTAAATGAATACTGCTGGCATATTGATGATTTATTAGTTTCTAATTCCCAATTCCTATGACACTTTTATCATACCCATCTTCTTTTACCAAATGTGTTTCTCTTGGATAGTTATTGGATATAATTGCTTTAGAGATTTTATTCTCCATTTCTTTTTAAATCCTTTGGAGGTAGAGTCTTTATTCTTATTAATTATTATTTAGATTGGACTAATAATATCAAGATTTAGAGATAGCCAGCATGCTTTACCACATACTCATGTAGTGAGCATAATAATCATATGATAAAAAAAAGAATCATTTTATTCTAAAATAATATTTTCACTTTTACTATAAACCAACTTGCTGCATAGGCTTTTTGTCCAGTGATTCAAACTTCAGAGGAATGATTGGCCTAGGTGACTTTTAAATGTCCTTTTGACCTTGACATTCTATCATTCCTCAGCTGATTCAGCAAGAATGTGTTGAGTGCCACTGTAATTGTGTACATTATATAAGAAGAAAAGCTGCCTTTGCCTTTAATGGCCTTGGAATTGAATTGGTGAGATAATACCTGTGTATGTATAGTAGGTAACCGTTAAGAATTGTGTATGGTTAATTGCAGAAGGAACAGCACAAACCCAAAATGCCTGAGATGTTAAGTCAGAAAGAGAGGCTGGCAGAAGTAATGACAAAGAACAGGTCACGTCATCTTTTTTTTTTCTTTTTATACTTCATGTTTTTATTTTATTTTATTTTACAAATAGTTTATTGAAACAGTATGAATACGCATCTGAGAACTGTCTTTTCGGACTGTTAGGTGTTGGAGAAATTCCTTTGCATTCTGTAGCTCTTCTCTGTTGGAGTCTAATAGATTCTGGTCTTTTGTTTGTGTTTAACTTGAGGATCAAGGTCGCACTGAGGTTACGACTGTCTTGCTGTGTTGATATTTACCCCTGGGCACAGTACTCCATGCTGTTTTTTAATTTTTATTCTGGTGGTACAGTGATAATTCAAAGCACATTAATTAGTTTTTGTTTAATGTTATTTTATAAGACCAAATGTAACTATGTGTTAAAATAAGAAGTTTAAATAAATTTCCCACAAAGTGAAAAAAAGCACCACCGTAATTTCTTTCCATTCACTGTGACTTAAACAAATTATAGAATGTTTCTGTAATTATTGAATAGGAAATATACTTATTCATCTATACATATGAAAATCCCAAATACTGAGTTTCAATGTGTTATAGTCTTCTCTTGTTAAAATTATAGAACTAGATTTTAATATTATAGTAATAATATTTATAGATTATAATACAGCTAATAATATTTTGCGTGAAAGAGTATTAAACCAAGGCTGGAAACATTGTTAAGTTACATACTGAAAGCTTTTATGTCTTCATTCAGATTTTCTTAAGTCATTGTTTAAGAAATGCTTAGTAATCATGGTATCCTTGTTATGTATATTCTCTTTTTGCACTGGCTTATTTTTGAGCAAAAGTCAGACTCCTGAGAGAGTTTGTTTAAAGAGAACAGAGAAATTCCAAAAGCAGTGAAGGGATGGAAGGAGACAAATACAGCTTTTCTTGAGGACAGAACTGAATGTAAATGTGTCCATTTTATGCCACATAGAACTAGCAAGTAAAGTTTTTGATGTGGTTACTACTTAATAGTCTACAACAGTGTGTACATTATTTACAGTATTTGATGCGTGGAGAAACTTAAATGACTTATGGGTATTTTTAAAAATTTTTTTGATTGAAAAAAATTTTAATTGATTTTTTAGTTGACATTCAGTGTTACATTAGTTTCAGGTGCACAACTGCGCTCACCATCTGTCATCATACAGAGTTACTGTTGGCTATATTCTCTATGCTGTACGTTTCATTCCCCTAATTTACTTACTTTATAACTGGAAGCTTGTACTTCTTAATACCCTTCACCTGTTTTGCTCTGTGCCACTTACGGTGGTGAGCACTGCATAACGTATATTGTCGGATCACTACATTGTACACCTGGAATTAATATTAGCATGTATGCCAATTATACTTCAAATTTAAAAAAAAACTTATGTGAATTTTTCTGCTTGTTTTCCTGATCTCCCCATTTTTGAGTGCCGCAGTACCATTTCTATAGCTAAGCAACATTTTTCTCAGCTCTTCTAAAGGCTGTAGTAAGCGCCAACTAAATGTATGTAAGATAATTGAATTGTTTTTATTGGAGAAAAAATTCAAGCAAGAGAAATTAGTCTTTTTTTTTTTAATGTTTTATTTATTTCTGAGAGAGACAGCGTGAGCAGGGGAGGGTCAGAGAGAGAGGGAGACACAGAATCTGAAACAGTCTCCAGGCTCTGAGCTGGCAGTCAGCACAGAGCCTGATACGGGGCTCGAACCCACTAACAGTGAGATCATGCCCTGAGCCGAAGTCGGACGCTTAACCAACTGAGCCACCCAGGTGCCCCGAGAAATTAGTCTTTTTTTTTTTTTTTTTTAATTTTTATTTATTTCTAGGAGAGAGAGAGAGACAGCGTGAGCAGGGGAGGGTCAGAGAGAGAGGGAGTCACAGACTGAAACAGGCTTCAGGCTCTGAGCTGGCAGCACAGAGCCCGACGCGGGGCTCGAACCCACGAACCGCGAGATCATGACCTAAGCGAAAGTTGGACGCTTAACCAACTAAGCCACCCAGGCGCCCCCCGAGAAATTAGTCTTAATATTAGGCTATATAAGACTTTCTTCCTCCTTATCTCATTAATGTGTATTTTATTCATCTCAACAAGACAGAATTTGTCCTATATATTTTGCTAGAAAATTTTTAATTGAGGGGCACCTGAATGGCTCAGTCAGTTCAGCACCTGACTTCAGCTCAAGTCGTGATCTCACAGCTTGTGGGTTCGAGCCCTGTGCTGGGCTCTGTGCTGACAGCTCGGAGCCTGGATCCTGCTTCAGATTCTGTGTCTCCCTCTCTCTTTCTCTCTGCTCCTTCCCTGCTCTATCTCTCTCTCTCTCTCTCTCTCTCAAAAATAAACAAACATTAAAAAAAAAAAAGGGTTTTAGGGGCACCTGGGTGGCTCAGTTGGTTAAGCATCCAACTTTGGCTCAGGTCATGATCTCATGGTTTGTGGGTTCAAGCCCCGCATCGGGCTCTGTGCTGACAGGTAGCTCAGAGCCTGGAGCTTCCTTCAGATTTTGTGTCTCCCTCTCTGACCCTCCCCTGCTCACGTGCTTGCGCTCTCTCTCTCAGAAATAAATAAAAACATTAATAAAGCAAAAATAAAAAAAATTTTTAATTGGAATTTCAGAGCGTTCAATGCTGTGAAAATAGCACATATCCTTCTGTGGTTGTTTAAGTGTTACGTTTTTAAATTCATTTTTGGCAGATAAAATAACACAAGAAGATATTGAAGGCATTCTGCAGAAATTTACTGGGAATATAATGCAGGTACCTCCCCTGTAAGTTCAATTATTGAATTTGGAGAAATGTTTATTTTTTATTTTTTAGTGTTTAACATCACTTTAATGAGAAAAAAAAGGGCTCCCTTCTGTGTACGGTGAGGCATGTTTCAATCTGACCGGCACCTGCTCAAGTAGCGGTGGGCCTGACTTAGGCAGCCTGCAGAGCTTCCGGTACTCTCTGAGGCAGTGCCACACGGCCTCGTCTCTCCCTGGCCATTGCCACAGCTTGTCATCCGTGCTGGTCCAGTGCTTATGGATTCCATCCACATGCCCCAGGGCAGGGCTGAACACAGAGAGCTCAGTCTTCCCAGAATCGCTGCGAGGCGCCCAGTTCTGTCTAGTGCTGGTGTCAGAGCTGTGATTCCTAGGCCAGGGGGCCCTTTTTTTTTGGGGCATTGGGACCATTTCTTGTGGGCCCAGAATCTTATGCTTCACAAATCTCTGCAACAAATGAAACAGATGAAAGTTATGATTTATTAAAAGTATAAGAATATTGATTTACCACTTAACCATATTTTTGGTGCACATTACCATTTCAAGCACATAGCTTTTTATTTTAAAAAAATGGCTGTATCATTATGTGTCAGGAAAAGTTACTGACAGTTCTTTTAGCATATAGTACTTTTTATTTTAAAGTCTTGAGTTTTTTCAAGAACACTGAAATATCTACAGGGAAATGGGTCTTCATAATTTTGCTTCAAACAAAAGTTTAAAAATTTTTCTAGGATATGGATAAATGTTATTTTTGATCATTATTGTTAAAATAAATTAAACATATCTATCTTTTATTTATAAGAGCAGTTTTAGAAATTTCTTCCCTGGGACTATTCCAAGGATTTTGTGGTCTAATAAAATTTTATCACACAAAACTAAGATCTGTAGATTATTTGCTTCTTTGTGTTTTGAGATATGTTGATAAATTGTATGTTAAAAGGAATATTATTGTAAAGGAAATTGTTTCAAGGAAATACAGCTGAGGCCCTTGTGACCAGAACCCAGACCAGTGAATGGACACATGTATAGTCATCTCCACAGAGAAGGTTAAAGGCTAAAATTGACAAGATTGCTCATTGGGTGCCATCTAGAGCTTTACTTCAAAGATGTTTGTTTAGGAATCCCATTCCTGGCACTGTTAGGGAACAGGTTAGAAGAAAAAATGAGTTCGTATTTTAGAAGGAGTTTCCATTTAAGTGCTGCTGGTATCCTTTCTTTCCATGCTGTAATCTGGAGTTATTCTGTCTCCTTCACTCCCTTTCTCCCTCTATTATCTTGCAAGTTATTCTGCATTAAAGAAAGACGGACAGAGACTTTCCACCTTGATGAAGAGAGGTGAAGTAGTAGAAGCAAAACCCGCCAGGCCAGTTACGGTATACAGCCTTTCCCTTCAGAAATTCCAGCCACCATTTTTCACATTAGGTAAGCTGGAAAACCTTGAAATCCTGTGTAGTTAGTTACATGTACTTTTATTTTGCATTTGGCTACTTTTGTGTAATTTAATGGATCCCTCATATGTTGGAGATTTTTAAAACTTGACTTTAAGTAAGGTTAGGATTTGTTAATATCTTTTTAATAACACATTTAATGAAAATACTGATAGCTACATGAAAGTTCAGAAATGCTGTTCTAAATGCTTTTCTTATTATCTTAGATATAAATATCTATATTTTGTAACATACCTATTATCTTATTATAAAGTTGGAAGTAACATACCTTAGATCTCTAACAGCAAAGAATAGGTAAAAGATACAGACTTTCAAAATTTTATATTTTGTGTTTTATTATCTTATGGATGCTTGTTCCTCCATTTTGGCTAGTACCTGGTAGTTTACATTCAGTTTTAAAATTTAGATTAATTTGCCCTTTTAAAATGAAACAGTTTTAGTTTTTGGACAAGAAATTCTAAGAGTGGAGTCATTATTTCTCTCCCTTCTTTGTTACCTGCAAGTTATTGCCTATGACCCTGACAATATGGAGATAATGGGTAAGGTAGAAGTGTTTTTGTAGATATGGGGTACATTTTAATTCAGGTAATCAATTGGAATATATCTATAGTCGATATTTGAAATAAATTTAAAAATCAAAGTGCTAGTTTCTATTGTTTGGAAATTTTATGATCTCTCAGTTGCAGAAAGTAGTACTGAAGCCATGAACATATACAAGCTGTAAAGAATCGAAAGCTGTAGTTCTAAATTCTCAGGCCTTAAGGTGATACTGCTTTTAATTTCACAGTGCCTAGTAACTAGGATTCCCTTTAGAGATAATTTCCCAGAACTGTTTTCCTCTATATTCTCTTGCTTTGCCATACTATTTAAATGTGTATTAGCTCCTGTAGAATGTGGGGGTTTTTTGTGCAGTTAAAAAATTAAGTCACTTTTTTCTTTAGTTTCCTGATTATAAAATATTTGACAAATAATGGGGAAAACATACTAAAAAATAACTCATTTCATGAAAATAAAGCAGTTGGGTTAGCATGGTAGATATTATCTATGAAAGGAAGAGAAGCTTGAATTTTTCTTTTTTTTTTAATATTTTATTTTTAATTATTTATTTCTAGGAGAGAGAGAGAGAGACAGCATGAGCAGGGGAGGATCAGAGAGAGAGGGAGTCACAGACTTTGAAACAGGCTCCAGGCTCTGGGCTGGCAGTCAGCAGAGAGCCCGATGGGGGCTCGAACCCACGAACCGTGAGATCATGACCTAATCGAAAGTCGGATGCTTAACCGACTAAGCCACCCAGGCACCCCGAGAAGCTTGAATTTTTCTGATTGCATTTTAGTTGTGAATACTTACTGTGTTCACTTATCTTGTAATAGGCCAAAAGAGTTGTCTTTTCACCAAAGTCAAATATAGTGCAAGAGTGATTATATACCTACTTTGATCCTAGTGCTCAGTTTTTATGTCAGCAGTGGTCCCCAACCTTGAACTTTGATTAATTCCCCTCAAGTGGCTTTATTTGTAGGACAAGACTATAAACCCCAGGAATATAGTCCTTTTGTGTGGAAATTCAGGATGTCTTGTAGATGAGTGAAAATAATCCAGAGCCCTGCTCTTAACCAATAAGCATGTAATATGCTGTGTTAAGATGTTTAGATATGCAGTCACTCTGGAACATTGTGTAAGCTTAGTTATTTTATGGTTTCTTCAGGAATATTTCCAAGAGAACATTTAAATAGACTCAGCTCTCCATGTAGTATATTTTCCCAAACATAATTAGTATCCCTGATAGGGGGTTTTTGTATTTTTTTGAGTGTATAAATCTGACAATATCTTAAAAATCTACAGCTTCTGATAGCAAAGCAGAGATGTCCAACTGTTTAAAACCGATTAAATGAACAGGGTGTACAGATCTGAAAATATTTTTTTAAATGTTCAGCTCCTAATAGCAAAGCTGAGATTTCTCACTATTTAAAACCTATTAAAGGAACAAGGCTAAAGTAATAACGTGGTGGGACTTGCCAGTTGTTTTAAAATGTGTTCACGAGTCTCTGCTGTTTGCTCTCCCCACACTCTGACTTTTCAATCTCACAAACACATATGCTGTTGGATGAATAATTTATGTTTTAGCGCATAAATATTTTATCACTCGATTGTTTGCATAGTGCATTTTTACATTTGTTTAGGGGCATCATTTCTATGTAAAGTGGATTTCATAGGAGGTTAGCAATTTACCATGTCACTGTTAACATTCCAGATGTTGAATGTGGAGGAGGTTTTTATATCAGAAGCTTGGTCAGTGACATTGGCAAAGGTAAGCATAAAGAAGAATTATGAATTATCATTTAGAGAGTAATACTCTTTTTTGATGGGAAGAGGGAATTTTCTATTTTTCATATCTCTGAGTGCCGGCCTTAGGGAACTGCTCTTGCTGCAGTCAGCTTCAAAAGCATCGTAGGTTTATGGCATACAATTATCAGCATCAGCAGCTGCAGTCAAATGCTTGTAACAGGAGAGGGAGAGAAAGAGAGGAACAGAAAATGAAGATAGGAATAATGAAGGCAAGAACCAACATTATTGCAAGTATAAGATATTTTAACTCAAATGGGATAAGATAGAAAGACAGGCCTTTCTAAAAGTTACTTTCATTGATGTAAGTAAGAGTTTAAAAAAACACAAAACAAAACAAAAAAACCTGGAAGCCTTAGTCCTACAAACAGCTAGAAAGTTGCAGCCCTGGCTCTGCCATTTCCTGGCAGTCGGCACAAGACAGGTCAGGTTAGGTTACCTCATCTGCAAAGGAGATTAATAGTTGCCTCATGGGCGTGCTGCATGGTTAAATAAGAAAAGTATGTGCAAGTTCCTTGCAGACTTTAAAGCAGTGTGTAAGGTAATACTGTTTTGCAGCTTCATCGTTTCTTAATCTCAAACCGCTTGGTTCTTAGATTAGATTATTACAGTTTTACATTTGGGGTGGTTTTGAGAGGTTTGGGTCAAGTTGTTCCATCATTTGAAAAATTATGATGACCGTGGAATACTGAATCGTTCACCCTGTGGCTTTTCTTTTCGCCTTCTGTTGCCGAAGAGCTGTCTTCCTGTGCCAACGTCCTCGAGCTGACCCGAACCAAACAGGGACCGTTTACACTTGAAGAGCACGCCCTTCCTGAAGACAGATGGACAATCGAGGACATTGCCCAGTCTCTGGAGCATTGCTCGTCTCTTCTCCCGGCAGACTTGGCACTTAAAAAGTCAAAACCCGAGGAGTCTAATGAACAAGTTTTGAGCTGTGAATATATAACCCTAAATGAGACAAAGGGAGAGGATACGATTAAGGCATCTTAAGATTGGCTTGGGATTGTCATCATTTCTTGGTTGACGTTGGAGTCCTGGGTACAGGATGGCAAGCTACGTGCAAAAGATGAACAACTGTTTCTTTTTTCCTCCCCGCATGGTTTTTTTTTTTTTTCCGCATGAAGAAAAATGTCCATCATTGACAGTTTCTATGGTGTACAATTTATCTGCTCTACATTATAAATAGCCTTGCAGTGACTCGTTCAGCTCTTTGCCTCACTGTGAAATGTTGTTTTAGGATGTTATTATGTTGTTTGATTGGATTCAGGAAAATCAACCCTCTGATTTTGATCTTTCTTCAGTCTTTTCCTGGAAACAGTTGAACACATTTTCAAATCAAAGAAAAAGAAACACAAGCTCTGTGTTTCTTTGGCGTCACAAAAGTGAATGTAAATTGGTGTTACTTTGACTTTACTTTGGCTTCCTAGTGGCTCTGTTGTATTGAAATTCTTATGTTTGAAAAGGCCATTATTTAACGTACATTTTGGAGTCTACAGTGATTAACATTTATTTGATAAGGCTTATACTTTACCAGGTAATAGCTGCTTGTTTAGCTCTTGGAAACTAATAAACTTTTACAATAAATATTTGTAAATAAACCCAATTATTGTTGCTACCACTAACAGTGTAACTAGAAGACTAAATATTTAGTTAAATTCCTGTCTACCATGAGCGCGAAGGACAGACAGCCTTATATTTTGGCAGCTACGTGATCCTTTCCTCATGATTTCGTCCACACAGTCAACCGCCCTGTACCAAGTTACTAAATAGCATAGTTTTTTAAAAGTAAGCTAAGGAATGGTCTTCAGTTTAAAATTTCTTTTGTCTATTTTTTAGTGTTTATTTATACTAGGGCATTAAGCCCTGTGATACTGTTGTATTTTTTTAGTTTGCTTTTTCAAATTATATTTATACACATTGAGATAGCCGCCCTGCATGTCCAGCTAATCTCTTCTGCTCTAAATATTTTGAAACAGTTATTCTCAAACATTTTCATTCACATAGTTTACTGAAAGTTCCCTAACCCTTTTTAACATCAATTTGTAAATGTCACAAAATGGTAAATTTCATATATAAGGAGTTTTGTTATGGGAAAGCAATATATTATACTGCCAGTCTTTGGAAGTGTCCAAATTCTGCTTCATTTATTCAGATAAATCTAGTTTTTAAAGGAAGAATAGTTTAAAATTTCATAAGTGAGGTGTTTCTAGATTTTTATGGATTCCCTTTCTTTTAAAAGTAGTTGCTTGTTTGCAAGCTCCAACTCAAAAATTCTAAATACGTAAAGTCATGGGCTTTTATTTGTAGTTAACTGAATATAAATTCAAAATAAAATTCAATATAAAAGGTTATATATGCTTCAGTGGAGCATTTTCATCACATCAACAACGTATTTTATATGAAAATATTAAAACTAATTCTGACACACAAAACTATAAGGAAAAGAGCTTGATATCTCAATACATTGACATAAAATACCAAACACACAAATTTGTAGGTCAAAAGCTGACAACTTGACTTGTGCCCCGCAGCCTGTCTCGCACGGAAGTGGCGGTGGCTGCCCCGATTACAGCGGGTCATCATGCATTGCCAGTTAAGGTCTAAACAGAGCGAAATTTAGGTTTTGGAAAACAATTGGGGCATTTCTGCTCTATTTCTCAACTTAAAAATTGCCATGTATAATTTACTGAAGGAGAGGAGAGATTATATCTTTTTTTAATATTAAAAGCATTGAAGAAAATTGCCAAATAGAAAAATTACCCACAATCCTCACCATCCTGATGCAGTGACTTCAGAACTTTAATTCTGTATTACCATTTCCCCTTCTCTGGTTTACAGAATTACAGTCTTAAGTCATAGATTTTCTACTCGACTATTTTTTCATGTTATCAGACTCTTTGTATTTAGTTTTGATAATTATTATTTTAATCAAAGGACTTCATATTCAGTTTATTTAAACCATTACCCGAATTCCTGAACCCTGAAGTTATTTTCAATTTTATCAGGATCAGTTCTTGGGAGTGGGATGATTAAGGGGAATAACAACACTTTTATGCCTCGTCATACATTCGCCTATTACTTTCCCAAAGAGTTAGAACATTTTACAGGGGCCCCATCTGAGTGTATCAGTTCATTAAAAGTTTACAGCTTTGGGTGGGGGGTTTATATGTTGTTGCTAATGTAGTAGATAAGAGTTCAAAATTGCTCTTATTTGCTTTTGTGTGACTTTTTTTGTATACTTTGTTCATTTATATAAGTAAATGTCTCAATGGTTTCTTTATACATTTGTATGAGTTATTTCTGCAGTAAATACTTGGTAGAAGTATTTTCATGGCATGTTGTCTTTTTAACTTCCCGTTCGTTTTTCATTTTTGCTAACTAAGTTTACTAATTTTAATAACTATTCCCCCTTTATAGTTGTCAGATTTATGAATATAGGAATAGTTAAAAGTATTTTCACTTTAAAACATTCTTAACTCTCATGTACAGCTGAAACTGATCAGAATTCTCTGAAAAGTTCAAGACTTACCGATAAATTTATTTTCTCCTGAGAGTCTAGTATTTAAGTACCGACTGTTTTGTTTTTTTCATTATGTAGTTCCAGGCCTAAAGTTTCATGACATGATAAAGTTGTTTCACTTGCAAGAAAAAGAACTTCCTGAAAATGTTTCAACCTGGAACATACCAAGTTACTTTTTACACTTTAGGTTTTTTATATTTCTGAAAAATATTTTTGTGTTAAGTCATCACAGTGGTCATAGGATTATTTTACATATGACTTTAAAATTCATGAGCATTAAAATAATACAAATTTTCTCTCTGCTTGAATTCAAAATCATAAAATTTGAAAAAGGAATCAACTCACATTTTCCTATACTTACTAGATCTTTTCTTCTTAAATACTTAAGTTAATACAAGCTACTGATCCATCATCAGAAATGATTCATTCTGTAAAAAAAAAAAAATAGGGCTTTATATCAGGTTTTCAGGGCATTTTATACTTCTCTGACCCATTTGAAATTTGTATCAGACTTAAAATGGGCACTTAGAGGTTCATTTATATGGTGAGTTGTTCTATTTCAAAGGAAGAAAGTAATTTACCTTCTATCATTATGTATATAATAGAGGAAATGTCATTGAAAAGGCACTCCAAAATGTTGAAAAAATTTAAAGAGGGGAATATAATAGTTTATGTATTGAAATCATTATGATGGCCTTGTAGTCGAATCTTGAGAAGACTTGTCCAGTTGAAACTGTTTCCTTACAATATGTGTGGACAGCCCTAGCCTGACCTAATCGTTAAGTATCATTTGTTAAACACTTACTACATGACATTGGAATCAATAATGCCTCATATTTTCAACTTGAGTTACATTCTCTTGATGAACAGAAATATTTCAGATTACTGTTATAAATGGGGATAGCAGGAAAGTTGAAGTCAGAATTTATTCTCTTGTTCTTCTTATCCATGACTCTTAAAATATAACAGTAGAATAGTTTCTGTCTCCACTATTAAGCAGCTTTTTGAACTAGGCAAATCACTTCAATCTTTTAGGGCCCTGGTTTTCTGTTCTTCGAAACAAAGGGGGCAGGCTAGTACTCTCTACGAACTTTTCCAGCTCTGAAATAGTAGGCTTCTGAGTACAAAATAAATGTGTATTTCTTCTGTTCAGAAGCCCATAATCCGAATTTTTGTATTGTTCACCAAATTCTCCATCTCTGAATATTGCATTGCTTCCATCCAGTTGTCGTATTAGATTTACGTCTCATCTTCTCATTTTGTTTTATGTATCTAATTACTCGTTCATATTTTCTGTCTCTACCCTTTGTGCTGTAGCTTGGGGAATTTCCTTGAATCTTTTCCACATAATGAATTCCTTGGGCTATTTTAGCTTACTGTTTAATGATTATTATAATTTTAGAAAATTTCTAGAATATCAACTTTTTTTCAAAATCTCTCTTATATGCTGTCTTAGTCTTTCATCAGGTTTTAATTTAAATACACATATTTAAATGCAGTTTAGTTTTTTAAATTAAACATTTTTTTGCTTATTCATTTTTGAGAGACAGAGTGTGAGTGTGGAGGGACAGAAAGAGAGAGAATGAGTTACAGAATCCAAAGCAGTCTTCAGGCTCCGAGCTGTCAGCACAGAGCCTGAGGCAGGGCTTGAACTCACAAACCGTGAGATCATGACCTGAGCCAAACTCGGATGCTCAACTGACTGGGCCACCCAGGTGCCCCTAAATACAGTTTAAATATGTAATTCTTTTTTTACTTTCACTGATAATATCTACTCAGAAAATTGCACATACCATAAATGTATAGGCTGATGAATTTTCACGAAGCAAACACATGTGTAACCAGCAACCAAATCGAGAAACAATATTAGCAGCCCACCAGAAGCCCTCTGAAATTCTCTTCCAGTCACTAGCCACTGACTCCCACCCTGCCACCAAGGGTAACCACTTCTAACACAGATTATTAATTTTCTTTTGTGCTTTATATATACAGAAGCATGCAACATCTACTCCAATATCTGGCTTCTTTAGCTCAAAATTAGATTTGTGAGATTCTGCCATCTTGTTGCCTATGGTTGTAGGTTATTTATTCTCATTGTTTAGTATTCCATTGTGTGAAAATACCGCCCTTTTTCCATTGTACTGAATGATGGGCACTTTATTAGCTTTCATTTTTGAGTATTTTTTTAGTATTCAGTTATATCACACACATTATGTCTCAGTTTTGGCTTCTTAGTTCTGCCTCTTTTAAAAAATGTTTTAGTGTTTGACATAGGATTTATGATCCACATCTTCAATTTATCACAAATTACCTTCATTACATCTATCATGTAGAAACTTTATAATAGTATGTTTCCATTTCTTACCTCTGGTCTTTTGTGCTGTTTTCATTCATCTACTTTAATATATAATATAAACCCTGTAATATATTGGGTTTTTGTTGCTGTTCTTTGATTTTACTTTATCACTTCAGACCATGGTTCAGCCAACTTTTTCTGTAAAAAAAACCTCAATTGTAAATATTTTAGAGTTTGCAGGCATATATGGTTTTTCTCTCGCAGCTACTTACCTTTGCCACTAGCATGAAAGCAGCCACAGACAATACACATAAATGATTTGTTTATGTTCCAATAAAGTATATTTACCCTCATGCTTTAGCTTGCTGACCACTGCTTTAGTCTGACAGTTATCTTTAGGATTAAAAATTGTGAAAAAAAAATATCGACCTATCTCCTAGTGTTCTTCATTTTTTTAATGTAGAACCAAATTTCTATCCGCTATCATACTCCTTCCTCCTGAGTAACTTCCTTTAATATGTCTTTTAGCACACGTCTAAGAGCAATGAATTCTCTCAGCTTCTGTTTTTCTCAAAAATGTTTATTTCATCTTCACTTTTGAAAGATATTTTTGCTGGGTATATACATCTGGGTTGGTTAACGTTTTTTCATTCAGCACTTAAATAGTGTCATTTAATTATCTTCTGACTTGTATAGTTTCTCTGTTGCCTATAAGGCTTTAGTTTTGGTTTTTAGCAGTTTGATTCTGACGTATCTAGGTGTGTTTTTCTTTGTATTTACCCTTTTGGGGGCTTCTGCATTTCTTGCATTTTGTTTTGTTTTCTTTCATAATTTTTGGAAAATTATCATTTTTGGAAAAATATTCTATTCCATGCTCTCTTTTTTCCTCCTGGGACTCAAATTATTGTTATATTCAATCATTCATTTAACATTGACACACTGCTCTTGGAAGCTCTGCTTTTTTAAAAAAATTTTTTTAGATTTCAGTTTGGGTAACTTCTAGTGACCTATCTTTAAGTTCACTGATACACCTGTTAAATTCTTCATCTGATAGTATGATTTTAATTCTAGTATTTTGAATTAGTTCTTTTTTCCTGGTTTTTCTCTCTCTACTAAACTTCCCTATCTGTTCATGCATGTTGTCTACCTTTTCCACTAGGTCCATTAACATATTAGTTATTTTAAATTTTTTTTCAATGTTTTATTTATTTCTAGGAGAGAGAGAGAGACAGCGTGAGCAGGGGAGGGTCAGAGAGAGAGGGAGTCACAGACAAAAACAGGCTCCAGGCTCTGAGCTGACAATCAGCACAGAGCCCGAAACGGGGCAAGAACCCACAAACAGCGAGAACATGACCTAAGCGAAAGTCGGACGCTTAACCGACTAAGCCACCCAGGCGCCCCAACATATTAGTTATTTTAAAGTCTTTGCCTGATAGTTCTAACATCTGGGTCATACCTTAGTCTAGTTCTGTTGATTGCTTTGTCACATAGTCTTTTTCTTTTCTGACTTGTGGGTGTGTTTCATATTTCTTCATTAAATGCCAAATACCATGCATAAAATAGACTGAGGTGAATACTATTTACATCTTGAAATGGACACACATCCTCTATCCAGCCAGTAGTGTGTGATGTGAGGGCAGTCTAATCAGTAGTTGAAATAGGTTGGGTTTGTTGTTATTCTTACCATCAATGTACGAGACTTCTAATTGCTGTGGGAGTGAGTAAGCTGCAGCTGTTTTATTTAGTGGGGGCGTGAATTGTGGGATGATTTTTCTCAGTTTTTCTCTGCACGCGCACATTTCAGCAAGTCCTTCATCTTGATGCCACAGAAGGAATGGGACTGATGCTTTTTCCCTCTCCCAGGGGTGAACTGCTGTTGCTGGTTACTCGGTGCGCTTCAAGGAAGTATTTCTTGGTTCTCTCACTCCAGCCTCAGTCTTGTGCTCCTGGACTTCAGGGGGGTGGGTTTTGTTTTGTTTTGTTTTTGTTTCTTTGCTTGTTTGTTTTTGTTTCTTGGTTGTTTTGTTTTGTTTTTTTAAGCAATTCTGCCCTTTCCCCAGTGGTAACAGGTCTCCACTTTGTATCAGTGCAGGATCTTGAGCCAAGTTCATTTTTTACTCTTCCTGCAGTGGCAGGCAGCGTCTGCTTCTGCCCTTCTACCAAAGCCAATGGATCGTTGCTTGGGCCTCTTTTCTCCCCTCAGAGGTTATGGGTTTTGCTTCATATAAGGGGAGGGTTCATGTAGTGGGTGGGTTCCATGCCTGTGTGCCACCCACAGGGTCTCTCTCAGGTCTCCTGCCCTGCCCTGCCCCCAATCTTTCTTATACTACACCAAGTGGAGACCCATGGAAAAGAACTAGAAAGTGACTTCTTTTGTGTCTGGAACTCTCCAAATCCCTACACGGTCACTCTTGGCCCTTCAAGAATTTATTACAATTTCAGTTGTTTCCCTCTTCTTTGATGATGACTGCCTCTTCTGTACTATGCTAAGAGTGAGACAACTCATGTT